AGGGCAAAGCAGCGAAGTTGTGTTTGGGGGACAACGGGATTCTACAGTGCTCCTGGGATTTGGGGATTTTGGGAATTTTGCAGGAACTTGGAAGTTGTGCTGGTGCCACGTCAAGGATTCTGGGAAAGGAAGGCAACAAAGCAGCAGGAGGAGCCGGGATTCCCAAATTTTGTATGGAAACATTTCCAGAGCTAGTGGAGCTGTGGAAACTTGGAGCGATCTGAAGGAAAAACCTCTGGGTTCCAGGATTTTGGGATCCCGGTGCAATCTGGATTTAATTGGGGTGAGGGGATTGAACCCCCCAGGGAGCTGGGAATGAGCTGGGAAGCTGGAATTGGAAAGGGAATGATGATGTTGGGAAAGAAAAGGTCAGAGTTGGGAAGTGGTGGGAAAATCCCGCCGGATTCCTCTGCCAAGGATGCAGCTTTGGGAGCAGCCAGGAGAGGTTTTGGTGGGAATTTGGGGGTTTTTTTGGGATTTGGCAGGAGCAAATCATCAACACTTGTGCTGGGGGGCGACGGAATTTGTGCTTCTGGGAATCTGGGGATTTTTTGGGATTTTGCAGGAGCAAAGCAGTGAGTTTGTGCTGGTATAACAATGGGATTTGTGTTTCTTGGAATTTTGGGTTTTTTTGGGATTTTGCAGGAGCAAATCAGTGAGTTTGTGCTGGTATAACAATGGGAGTCATGTTTCTTGGAATTTTGGGGTTTTTTGGGATTTTGCAGGAGCAAAGCAGTGAGTTTGTGCTGGTATAACAATGGGATTTGTGTTTCTTGGAATTTTGGGGTTTTTGGGATTTTGCAGGAGCAAAGCAGTGAGTTTGTGCTGGGAGGACAACGGGATTTGTGTTCCTGGGAATTTTGGGGTTTTTTTCTGGGGATTTTGCAGGAGCAAAGCAGTGAAGTTGTGCTGGAAGGATGAAGGGATTTGTATTCCTGGGAATTTTGGGTTTTTTTTGGGATTTGCAGTAGCAAAGCAGTGAACTTGTGCTGGTATAACAATGGGATTCGTGTTTCTTGGAATTTTGGGGTTTTTGGAGATTTTGGAGAAGCAAAGCAGTGAGTTTGTGCTGGGAGGACAACGGGATTTGTGTTCCTGGGAATTTGGGGTTGGGCTGCTGGGGGGTGCAGCCAGAGGGGACTGGCAGCATCCTTGAACCCCCACTTTTCCAGGGAATCCGGGCTGTTCCCGATGGCCGGGAATTGGCCGTGTGGGACCAGGAGTCATCCTGAGTCAGCACTTCCAGGTGGGCCGGGCCACCCGGAACGCGTGGGGGAGAGCGCCTAAATCCGGCTGGGAATGACTCAGAGCACGAGGGACTGGCTCAGCCACCCCCAGCTCCCTTCTCCTGGATTCCCAAAGCTCCGGAGGAGAAGGAAAGCTCCGGAGGCCTCAGAGGGATGGATTTAGGATGGCTCTGCTTCCATCCCTCAGGAAGCTCCAGCTTGGCCACTCCCATTGGCATTTTTTCCTTGTTATTTTAATTTATTCCTGAGGATTTCAATTTTTCATGGAGCTTCCCATAGTTGGAAAAAACCCCTGGAATGTGCAATGAGCATATTTCTCATTTTCTCCCTCCTTTTTTTTCATTTTTCTCCTTTTTTCTCCTCCTTTTTCCTGCTCCTTTTTCCTCCTTTTCTTCCCCCTTTCTCTTTCTTCCCTACTTTTTCCTCCTTTTTTTTGTTCTTTCTTCCCTTCTTTTTTCCCCTCTCCTTTTTTCCTGCTCCTTTTTCTCTCCTCCTTTTTTTCCTACTTTTTTTACCTCCTTTTTCCCTCCTTTTCCCCTCATTTTTCCTTTGCCTTTTCTCCGTGTCCAATCTGGGACAATCCCTGTGGCAAAGGCTGCTGGGGTGGCTCCATCCCTTCCTTCCCAACCCCTCCCAGGGCTCTTCCTGCTCCCATCCCAGCTTTTCCAGCTCCTTCCAACCTTGGGAAACTTCTCCCCGAGGAGCAGGAGCCATTCCAGGGGAGCAGATGGCTGAGGAGGAGGAAAATCATGGATGCAAATTCTCCGGGATGTCTTTGCAACATTCCCAGTCAAGGTCGTGCTGCTGGGAAAAGCATCCTGCAGGATCTTCCCCCCGTCCCCCAAACTTTGGGATATTTCATGGATATTTGAAGCCTTCAAGCGAGGAATCCTCATCCATCAGCTGGGACAAACCTGGATTTTTAGGGATGCTCAGGATCCTGGGATGGCAATTCTGGGCTTGCAGCAGCCGGAATTGCTGAGAGTTTGTGACATCTCCACAAAATTACCATTCCCAGATTTCCCAAGTCTGGGAAATTTCCCGGATTTCCCAAGTCTGGTTTCCTTGTGGGAAAATGGGATCTTCTGGAGATTCCCCACAAGAAACCCTTTGGAATGTGGGGATTTATTTGGATATCCAGGGGAGAATCAGTAGAAACGGACCCAAAAATTCTCAAAGCCACAGAACTTCCCTGGACCCCTGGAAAACTTCCAGACTCCATCCTGGGATGAGAAAATTCCATGTTTATTTCCCCCCACGTGGATTTAGGAGGAGCAGCAGAGCCAGGGGTGCTGGAATTCGAGAGATCAAAGGAATTTGGGCCTCATTATCTCCAAATTCCAGGGAAGCTGAGGCTGAAAGCCGGGAAATCTCCCAGCAGCCGAAAGCTGAGCGGGATGGAGGGAAAGCAGAATTCCCAAATCCCTGCTCTGCTGACGAGGTGGAAGCGCGGAGCTGAAATCGCCGTGGAGCCTTCGGAGCCGCGGCGGCTCCGAGCGGGAATAATTCCGCTTGAAAGAGCCGGATTGAGGCGGAGAGGGATTTTTCCCAAAGAAGTGACAGCTCGGAGCTGGGCTGTGGCGTGGGGAGTTATTTTGGGAGGAAAGGCGGATTTCAGTGTCATTCCAAGGAGTTTCATCTTCTGTCGGCAAACTCCATCCCTGGATTTTGTGCTGCCATTGGAACAGCTGGAATTATTTGTATCCCAAAGTTCTGCCTCATCCCAAAATTCCTGCTTGCTGCTGTAGGAATAACCGGGATGAGGAAGCCTTGGCACAATTTATCCAGGGAATCTGGGGCTGCTCCGTCCCTGGAGTGTCCCAGGACAGGGCTTGGAGCACCCTGGGATAGATTTGTTCCAACCCGAAGCATTCCAGGACTCCATGTGTTGGGTTAGGCGGAATAATTGGGATAAGTCCTTCCCTAGGAGGGTGACAAGACCCTGGGATGGAATTCCAGAGCAGCTGTGGCTGCCCCTGGATCCCTGGAAGTGCCAAGGCCAGGCTGGATGGGGCTTGGAGCAGCCTGGGATCATGGGAAGTGGATTGGAATGGGATCAGCTTCCAGATCCTTCCCAACCCATCCGAAAAATTCCGGATTTGTCACAGCCTGTTCCCATCTTTCCATGACCAGGTGGGGATGGAACCAGCTGGAGATGTCCCCGTTTCCCAGCCAGTATTCCCAGCTTCCAGCCAATATTTCCAATTTCCAGATCAAAGTGAATATTCCCAGTTCCCAGTCAATATTTCCAGTCAATATTCCCAGTTCCAAGCCAATATTTCCAGTCGATTTTCCTGGTTCCCAGAAATATTCCTGGTTTCCAGCCAATATTCCCAGTTCCCAGTCAATATTTCCAGCCAATATTCCCAGTTCCTAGTCAATTTGCCCAGTTCCCAGAAATATTCCTGGTTTCCAGCCAATATTCCCCGTTCCCAGTCAATTTGCCCAGTTCCCAGAAATATTCCCAGCACCCAGGTAAATATCCCAGAAATATTCCCAGTTCCCAGTCAACATTCCCAGTTCCCAGTCAATATTTCCAGTCAATATTCCCAGTTCCAAGCCAATATTTCCAGTCGATTTTCCTGGTTCCCAGAAATATTCCTGGTTTCCAGCCAATATTCCCAGTTCCCAGTCAATATTTCCAGCCAATATTCCCAGTTCCTAGTCAATTTGCCCAGTTCCCAGAAATATTCCCAGCACCCAGGTAAATTTCCCAGAAATATTCCCAGTTCTCAGCCAATATTCCCAATTCCCAGCCAATATTCCCATTTTCCAGTCAACATTCCCAGTTCCCAGTCAACATTTCCAGTCAATTTTCCTGGTTCCCAGTCAATATTCCCAGAAACATTCCCAGTTCCCAGTCCTGGATGCTCCCCACGCGTTCCCAAATCCCTTTGCTTCTCGAGGGCCCTCCGTGCTTCCGGGGCTGGAATTTAATTTTGCTTCCCAACCAAAAAATCCCCACACCCCCCCAAAATCTCCTGTGCAGGAGTGAGAATTAATTAAATGAATTTAAAATTAATTAAATTAATTAAATTAATTAAATTAATTGAATTAATTAGTGGCCATTGTGTCATTAACGCCAGACTTTAATTAAATTGTGTGGAGATAACGACTCTGGAGCTTCCCAACAGCCGAACATTCCCAGGATGAAAAAATTCCTCCTAAAACCCATCCAAGGCGAGTCCTGTCCTCCGGCGAAGCTCCGAAGTTGGAAATTCCAGGTGATTTTCCACCGAAAAATGGAAATTCCTCCTCTCCCTCCCCTCTTAGTCAATATTCCCAGTTCCAAGCCAATATTTCCAGTCGATTTTCCTGGTTCCCAGAAATATTCCTGGTTTCCAGCCAATATTCCCCGTTCCCAGTCAATTTGCCCAGTTCCCAGAAATATTCCCAGCACCCAGGTAAATATCCCAGAAATATTCCCAGTTCCCAGTCAACATTCCCAGTTCCCAGTCAATATTTCCAGTCAATTTTCCTGGTTCCCAGTCAATATTCCCAGAAACATTCCCAGTTCCCAGTCCTGGATGCTCCCCACGCGTTCCCAAATCCCTTTGCTTCTCGAGGGCCCTCCGTGCTTCCGGGGCTGGAATTTAATTTTGCTTCCCAACCAAAAAATCCCCACCCCCCCCCAAAATCTCCTGTGCAGGAGTGAGAATTAATTAAATTAATTTAAAATTAATTAAAATAATTAAATTAATTGAATTAATTAGTGGCCATTGTGTCATTAACGCCAGACTTTAATTAAATTGTGTGGAGATAACGACTCTGGAGCTTCCCAACAGCCGAACATTCCCAGGATGAAAAAATTCCTCCTAAAACCCATCCAAGGCGAGTCCTGTCCTCCATTGAAGCTCCGAAGTTGGAAATTCCAGGTGATTTTCCACTGAAAAATGGAAATTCCTCCTCTTCCTCCCCTCTTTTCCATCCTTTTGGAGCTTCCGGGTGTTTCCTGGGATTGGATCAGGGAAATCCAGGATCTCCTCAGCTCCTTCCCGTCTCTTGGAAAAGACAATCCCGTGGGATGGGGAGTGCCGGGATCCGAGGGTCACCCATGGGATTTGTCCATGGGATTTCCAATGCCACGTGGGCTCCTGTCCTCCGGCGAAGCTCCGAAGTTGGAAATTCCAGGTGATTTTCCACCGAAAAATGGAAATTCCTCCTCTTCCTCCCCGCTTTTCCATCCTTTTGGAGCTCCCGGGTGTTTCCTGGGATTGGATCATGGGAAATCCAGGATCTCCTCAGCTCCTTCGCGTCTCTTGGAAAAGAAAATCCCGTGGGATGGGGAGTGCCTGGATCCGAGGGTCACCCACGGGATTTGCCCATGGGATTTGCCAACGCCACATGGGGTTGGTGGTGGTGGCACATTCCAGGAATTCTTTGGAATGTTGGCTGCAGGGAAAGCTGGGAAATTGTTGGCTGCAGGGAAATTCCCAAGGAATTTTCCTGGCTGCGCTGGAGGGAAAATTGGGATTTATTCCATGGGGGAAATGTTCCCAAAGCTCCTTGTCCTGCAAAAACTCCTCTCCAAAGGGCCACGCCAAGGTTGGATTTATTGATCCAGGAGCAGAGCCTGGAGCTCGGGAATTCGGAACCTGGGAAATGTGGGATAGGGGAAAGGTGAAGAATCAGGAGGTCCTGGAGGAGGAACCAGAAACGCTGGGAAAATCCCTGGGGGAAACTTTACTTGGTAAGAGGCTGGAATGTGACCGTATTTTGTGGATTTGGGATCTCTATTTTCTGGATCTGGGATTTATTTTGTGAATTTGGCATCTATTTTATGGATTCAGGATATGTTTAGTAGATTTGGGGTCTGTTTTCCAGATTTGGGATCTATTTTCTGAGTTTGGGATGTATTTTGTGGATTGGGGATATATTTTGTGGATTGGGGATATATTTTGTGGATTTGGGATATATTCTGGATTTTGGATCTATTTTGTGGATTTTGGATCTATTTTCTGAATTTGGGATCTCTTTTCTGGATTAAGGTATTTTCCCTTTGTGCCATGGTTTGGATTCATTTTCCAAGAAAATCTTCCCTGTCTCCCTCAGATCCCTTTTCCCTGTTTTTCCCAGCTCTGCTTTCTCCACCTCTTTCCAGGTGTTCGGATGGATCCAATCCCTCATTCCCGTCCCTCTCCTGCCCGAGGAGCAGCCATTTCCGTATTTATTGAATTCCTTCCCCGGGATCCGCAATCCCCGGCTCATCCCACTCCTGGTGCTGAGGGGTGGAGCGGGGATGGGAGGAGTGGGAAGAGACAGAAGGGAAAACCGGCAGGATTCAGGATCCTGCTTTTCCTGCCCTGTTCCTGCTTGGAATTCCTCAGCCTGGAGCAGCCCAACCATCCCAGCTCCCATGGGAGCCACCAGAACCAGGTGGAATTTTCCAGCTCCAAGGATCCCGTGCTGGGATCCAAAGGCTGCTTTCCATGGAGTTCATGGAGAAGGAGGCGCCGGGATTCTCCTGGAGATGGGAGCGGGATTCTGGAATTCCTGCTGGAATTTTGACACTTCCACATGGGTGGTTCCTGTCCCAGCTCCTGCTCCGGCTGCTCCAGCAGTGATGGGAAGACGGAAATACGGGAGGATGGGAAGATGGGAGATGGGAAAACGGGAAGATGGAAATTGGGAAGATGGGAAGAATTGGGAAGGCACCAGGATGGGAGGATCAGGGCAGGATTTGACAGCGATTCCCAAATTCCAGAGCAGCACTGGTGGCACTGACACCTCCTGCTGGGAGGAATTCCCAAAGGAAGCAGAGCGATCCCTCCAGGATATGGAATTCCCAGAGGAAGCAGAGCAATCCCTCCAGGATATGGATGCAGCAGGAATTCCCCAAGGGGAAGCCAAGCCGGGAATGCGGGATGGGGCAGAATTTGGGAATCGGGGATGAGCCGTGCTGGAGGTGCCAGCCGGGAATGCGGGATGGATGGGAATTGGGGAATCAGGGATGAGCCGTGCCAGGAATGCAGGATTGTTTTTCCAGGAGTGTCAATATCCCGGGATCCATCCCACGGCATCTCTGCTTGCACAGCCCCGGCTCTGTTTGCTCCCGAGCCTTTGGGGTGGGAAATGTTTGGAAAAGCCACTCGTCCCGGTGCCAGCTGTGGGAATCCCGCTGGATCCGCTCCTGCCGCCTTCCCGGAGGCTCCAGGGACCTCTCCCATCCCACTGATCCTGCGGAGCCTTCCTGGACTCCATTCTTCCCAAGGTTTGGGGAAGGAGGTGGAGCTGGAAAAGCTCCCAGTGGCATTCCCAGTTTGGGCATGTCCCAGCACTCCAAATTCCCAAGGAAAGAATCTCTGAATTCCCAAGGAAAATCCCCTTGATGGGCAATTTTCCAGGAAAAATGTCCCGTTACCTATGGAAATATCCAGGATAAACCTGGGATGGGCTCCTGAAAGCTCCGGCACTGGAAACAAAGGGGATCCGAGAGGCCTCAGGCAGGGAAGGATTGGGGTGGACATCCAGAAAAAAATCCTGGAAATCTCTGGGATGAGATGGCAGTGGGGCCAGGCTTGGGGACCACGCATCACCTGCAGGGAAAAAATTCCATGAAAAACTGGGAAAAACAAACAGCAGGAAGGAGGGACCCGTGCAAAGCCAGGGATGCTCCCAAAAAATGTCAGAAATATCTTAAAATTTCCTAAAATCCCAACTCTTGGTGGAGCGGCCTCAGGCCTGTGTAGAATTGTTCCCACTTTTCCAAGGGGTTTTCCCTCTGTCCCTGTGTCCGTCGGGCTGGGAAAGCATTCCACGGGTGAGATTTGGGGCTGGAAAATGCTCTGAGGGGTTTTTCCTGTCGGCTGGAGCTGTAGCCAGGTTTTTTGGGATTTCCACTGGAAAATTCCCTGTTGGAAGGGGCTCTGAGCATGAAATGAGTAGATTAAGGATTTATGTTTTTTTAATTTTGGGGAATTTTTAGGAGCTGCCAAGTGCCAGCAATGCAGAAGTAGGCTTAAGATCCCCCATCCTTCCCCTCTATCCCAAAAATTCCACATCCAGGCACTGATTCTGTTTTATTCCCAAACCAGCACTTCTGGCCCTTCTTTCCAAAAACCAGCCCCCATTCTCATCTGGCTTCCTGGGTCCCTCCAAGATAAATCCCAATTATTCCTCTCTCCCCAAATCGTGGGATCAAACCCCAAATCCGGCTGAAATCCCAAATCCGCTTCCCTCATCCAGCCAGGAGTTTTGGGGCTCAGCTCCAACTCCTCACCCTTCACCAGGCCTTGTGTGGAATTGGGAATATTCCCTCCTTTTTTTTTCCCAGGCGTCTCCACTAGAGAACCGGCTCAATCCCAAAAAAATCCCATGGGAATTCACAGAGAACCCAAGTCCATCCTTGATCCCCTCGATTCTACAGAAATTCCAGTAAAAATTCCAAATTCTTTGCGAGCCTCAGGTTTTCCCTTCTTTCCCCTCCTTATTCCCCAGTTTTTTCCATCTCCTCGGATTTTTTCCCGTGGTTGAGCTGGTGACCAGCCCAGCTCCGGGAGTGCCGGATATTCCCAGCCTTTCCTCGCTCCCACTCTTGGATTTTCCTGGTGCTCTTTCTGGATTTTTCACCAGGGAATTTTTCATCCCAATCCTCCAGTTTTTTGTTTGCTCCTCCTTTCCAAACCCCATTCCAGGAGGGACTTCCTGCTCCAAAATTCCTGGAATTTGTCCGAGGTGATGTTCCATCAAAACTTCCTCCCTGGGATTTGCTCCCCAGGATGATGCTCTGGGATAAATTCCTGATTATTCCAAATTTAGGACTCCACCCCTGAATTTGGGACTTTGTCTTTCAATCTGGGATTTTTTCCCTAAATTTGGGACTTTCTCCCTAAATTTGGGACATTCTTGCTAAATTTGGAGTTTTCTTTTCCAGTTTGGGACTTTCTCCCCAAAATTTGGGACTTTCTTCCAAAAAAAGTGAGACATTCTTGCTAAATTTGGGATTTTCTTCTCTAATTTTGGACTTAACCCCTGGATTTATTCTGGAAAGATCAAGGAAAAAAGAGAAACTGGAAAATTTTCCCCTTGGGAGTTTTTTCGGCCCAAATTCCCATTTCTGAGGATTCTCACCTGGAATGTGCTGCCCCAGATTCCGGCTGTTCCCAAGAGACGCCTGGAATGAGGCTTGGGCCTGGTTTTCCTTGGGAATCTGGGAAGGACAGGAGGGCACCAGCTCCATCTGAAAACAGGGATTGATTTTTTTAGGGAGTGAAGGGATCCAGCTTTAGATGGGAACACAGGAAAATCCGTATTTATGGAAAAAACCTCGGAATAATCATTTGGATGAGGCAGGAGCAGCATTCCCCACTCATTCCCTCCCTTCCCAAGGCCGGGAATTCCTCAGGGCATTCCAAGGCAGCTCTCACCAGCCACTGGATTCACGGGGAATTAAAATCCAGGGGAAATGGGAGCGATCCGGACACGGCGGGATTCGCACCCCGCGATTTCCAGAATTCCCTGTCTGCTCCGATGTCCCGGGAGCGCCTGATGGGCCGGGAGCTGCTCCTGGGAATTCCCCTGGAATCTGGAGGCTGCCAAGGAAGCTTTGCCTCCAGAAAACGAATCCAGCTCCCAACATTCCGGGTTATTCCCCTTTATCCTTCTCCCCAATTTGTGGGATTTGCTCCGGGGCGAGGTTGTGCTGAAAGGGGCTGAAATTCCCATTGGGAAGCTGTGGAATTGTAAGAATTTTTTTAATCCTGGTTTATTTTTGTTTTCCAAGGAGGTGTCGGAGCTGTCGGATCTTTGGGAAGCAATTCCCAGCTTCTGGAAAATCTCCACCCGCCTCATCCAGGGGTGGCTCCCATCCAAAGGAATGTTCCAGCCATGGAAACAGCCCTGGCTGAGGAAAGCGGGAGTGCTGGGGGAGCAGAAGGGTGGGAATGTTGCCTTTTTCCATGGAAAAATGGACAGGAAGAGCCAGACTTTGGGCTCCGGCAGCCGAGGGAAAAAGTCCTGGACTGGGGCATCCCGTGGTGATGGATTTGGGAATTTGTGACTCCTGGTTGTTCAGTTTTTCATGGAAAACTCCTTGTAAGGGGGAAATGAAGGATCTGAACTTGGAATTTGAGATTGGATTTGGTTTTATCCCAGATTTCCAGGCATTGAGGGATGGGTGACTCCAGAATTTTGTCCTGGAGTCTTTTCCCAAGCAGAGCCCCAAAAGAGGATCCTGGGAGAGAAAACTGAGATTTTCCATGGAATGGCTTTCAGGGGGATTGGAGCAGCTGGAATTCCAGCCCAGCCAGTAACACCAGTCTGATCCAAACTGGTGGGACTTGATTCCCAAAAAACTCTCTGACAGGAACTACCAGGAGCCAAAAATGCCCAAATCCATCACCATGGCATGGCCCAATCCAAGACTTTTTCTCTGGGCTGGAATTCCAGCTGTTTCCCATCCCCACCCCAGGGAAAACTTTTGTCCCAGCGTTTTTAACCCAAATTTTAGCCCCCAAAAAGGATTCTGAGCAGGTTTGGGGGTTTTCCCATGGAATTGGCTTTGTCCAGCTGGAAATCAGGGAGCGTTCCCCTGGGATTTTGGGAATGGGTGGGGGTGGAAGGCTGGAGGGAAAGGATTTGGGAAGACAGGGAGAGCACCTGGAAATGAGAATAAGGGATAAACATGTGGATTTTTGTACAGAAAGAGTTGTGGATCTCCAGCTCTTCTGCCCTCAGGAAGCCCCAGGCATCCCAATCCCTCTTCCCAAGGAATCCTGGCAGCTTCCCGAAGTCTGAGAGTGAAGGCAAACCAGGAAAAGCTGTGGGGCAAGGCCCTGAAGGGGTTGGGCTCCCAGCCAGGATGGAATTTTGGGGAGCCTGGGATCATTCCAGGCTGGATCCGGGGGTTCAGGGAGACAGGAATTGCCAAGGGAAGAGGGGGCAGGGGGGAAGCGCTGCTCCCAGTGCATCCCTGTGGGTCCCTGTGCATCCCTGTGGATCCCTGCTCCTGGATCCTGCATCCCACATCCCTGCCTGCATTCTGCTCCTCATCCTGAATCCCAACCCCATCCTGCATCCCAGCCCCTCTGTATCCCACATCCCTGCTGGATCCTGCTCCCTGTCCTGTAGCCCACATCCCTGACCATATCCCAACCCTGGATCCAACCGTATTCCTGCCTGCATCCAACATTCCTGCCTGCATCCCATTCTCATCCTGGACTCCACATCCCTGCCTGTGTCCTGCTCCTTTTTCTGCAGCCCACATCCCTGCCTGCATCCCAACGCGATGCCCGCCCGCCGCCCGGCGCGGGGGCCCCGCTGAGCCGCCCCGCGGGCACCATGCGCGCCATGAGCCCCCTGCCCCTGTGGCTGCTGCTGTGGCACCTGCGGCACCTGGCGCTGGGTGAGTGCCACCCCCAGGGGACAGCGACACCCCCGGGGCCGCGGGAGGGATGGGGTGACCCCCGCGCCCCTCCGGCCACGGGGCGGGCTCGGGGCTCGGCGCCCCCGCCCTGGGGTTTGGGGTGGCTGGGGGAGGGATGGGGGGCACCCACGGGGAGGAGAATCCACGGGTTTGGAGTGGGGAATTGGGGTTTGGTACCGGGGGATGAGGTCTGGAGCTGTTAGTGGGGCACCCCCTAACCCAGTGCTGGTGTGGGAGCTGTTATTGGGGCACCCCATAAACGGGAACTGGTGTGAGAGCTGTTACTGGGGCACCCCATAACCGGTGTGGGAGCTGTTATTGGGGCACCCCATAAACGGGAGCTGGTGTGGGAGCTGTTACTGGGGCACCCCATAACCCAGTGCTGGTGTGGGAGCTGTTAATGGGGCACCCCATAAACGGGAACTGGTGTGGGAGCTGTTAGTGGGGCACCCCCTATCCCAGTGCTGGTGTGGGATCTGTTAATGGGGCATTCAATAACCCGGTATTGGTGTGGGATCTGTTATTGGGGCACCCCATAACCCGGTATTGGTGTGGGAGCTGTTATTGGGGCACCCCATAACCCGGTGTTGGTGAGGGAGCTGTTATTGGGACACCCCCTAAAAAGGGGGGTTTTAACGGGGCACCCCCTACCCGGGCACTGCCGCTGACCCATGAGCCGGGCGCTGGGGTGGAGCCGTCCTTGGGGCGCCGTTTTTGGGGTGCGAGGGCCGGGGTCTCACCCTCGGGGCCGCCCCGTGTCCCCTTTCCCCGCTGCTCCCCAGCTCCGGCTGCGCATCCAGCCCTGCTCCAGCCGCGGAGGGGGGGCTGTGCTTTGGGGACCCCCACGAGCTCAGCTTTTGGGGGCTCGCAGCCCCTCCTGCCCCTTTGGGATCCCCAAATCCCCCACAAGGAGCAGCACCCCCCAAATTCCCGCTGTCCTGGGGGATTGCAGCTCCCGAGCTCCCAAAAACCCCGGGACTCCCCACGCCAGCCCCAAACCCGGGGCTCCGGGGAGGGAAAACCGCCCGGGGAAGGAAACTTTGCCCTCGTCGCGCCCCACGAGGAAGGAAACTTGCGCCTCGTCGCGTGGGATTTCATTCCGTGTCCATTCGAGGCGAATTCCCTCTTTTTGCCCCAATTCCCGCTCGGCGGGTCTCAGGTGGCCGCTCCTTCCCGAGACCCCGGGAAACGGGAGCTTTTCCAGGCGCCGGGAGATGGAGGCACGAGCGCAGCCTGCTCCGCATCTCCCCGGTTTTTTTGGGTTTATTTGGGTTTATTTTTGATTTTTAATGGACTTTGTGCTCTCCGGGAAGCGCCGGCGGGCGCTGCAGGGCGCGGGGCGGGGGAGCCGCGGCTCTGCGGGGCCAGCTCCACACAAAGGAGCCGATTCTTCCCCGCCTGCTCCCGATCCATCCCCCGGGCACGGCGCAGCCCCGGCCCAGCCGGGCGCTGGGATCGGGGCAAGAATTCCCCGAACCCCTCTTTTCCCTCGGCCGTGGGGTTCGGGTCCTGCCGGGCTGCGGCTGCTGCTCCGAGCCCCCTTCCCGAGCAGCCCGAGCATCCCGCGATCCCAGCACCGGGAATAAAACCTGCTCGGGAAAAGGGGGGAACTTGTGCCAAACGCAGCCCCGGCTGCCTCGCCTCCCCTCCCCGCTCTCCTCCGCCGCCGTTTTAAGGTCATGGATAGACAATTTCCAAGGAACAACGCATCCCCCCGGCTTTCCCGGAGCTCCAGCTGTCTGTCACTGGCGCAGGGATCATTTTTCCTGCCTCTCTCCTGCTTTTTTTCTCGCCGCAGATCGGGCGGTTGCTCTCGTGCTGTTGATTTCCTGAGAGCGGCTGCGGGGGAATCTCTGCTTGTCAGGGTTTTTTTTGGGGGGAAAAATGGGATCAAAGTTGGTTTGTGAAGGGGTTGGAGGAGCTCGGGGAGCCCGGGGGGGTTGGGGGTTAGGAAGTGATGGATCCGGCGTGGGGAATTGTTTGGGTTTGGGCATCCACGAGCTGGATTTGGGCTCCTAAACCCCACTGGAACTTGGCTGCATCCCGAGGATCCGCCGTGGTCGGCATCTCCTTCCCTATGGAAGCCGTCCCTGTGCTCATTTTGGGGTTCCCAACCCAAACCACCCCGGAATTCTGTGATTCCCCCGCTCGGCTGTCCCAAAAATCCCATCCCGAGCTCTGTTATTCCATCAGCCAGCCACAAATCCCGGCCAAATCCCGGGCTGGGGGCGCCTCCCTTTGCTCGGGGCAGCGGGGGCTGAGCTGCTCCCGAATTTGGGGGAGGGGGCAGAGCTTTGTTCCCGAATTTGGGGGGGCAGAGCGCTCGCCATTCCCGAATTTCCGAGCGCAGATGGCTTTTTCCTGGCTGACGGCATCCTTGGCTGGAGCCGCCGCCGTGCCCTCCCCTCCCGTCCGTGCCCTCCCCATCCCGGCTGGAGCAATCCAAGGGATCCAGACCCCGGGAAGCTCCAGGTGGGCACGGCCCCACTCCCCGCTGTCCATCCCTGCACCTGCCGTGTGTCCCCAAAACCCTTTTTTGGGGGAATTTTTCCTGCTTTTATTGTCCCCTCATCCGCATCCCGGAGGTTCCCCCAGGAATCCTCTGGAATCGCTTCCCACCCCACAAATCATCCGTGGGAAGGTTTTTTTGGGGCTTTCCAGCCCTGCTCTGCATCCTCACCGGCTCAGGAAAAGCCCTTTTGTGACCCCGAGCGCAGCCGGGATCATTCCCGAGGTGTTTTCCAGCCCTCCGGGAGCATCACCCCTGCGATTCCTGCTTTTTTTCCCCCTTTGTCCCCGGCTCAACCTCTTCCTTTTGCCAAAAAAAGCCGCCGGGGCCGGGGCTAAGTGGGTTAAGGAGCCGTCAGGAGGGAAAAACGAGGCCACGCGGAGGAGGCAGCGCTGGACCATGGAAAAGGAGAGGAGCGCCTGGAAAAGGGGCTGGAAAAGCTGGAAAAGCCCCCTTTTCCCTGGCTGAAATGCCTGAAATGCGGCCCCATAAAGGGCTCCTGGGGCTGTTTTAGCGCCCTGGGAGGGATCAAAGTGTCGAGTTCCTGCAGATTTCCAGCGCCTTTATCCCGGTGGGATTTGCTTCGGCTTCTGCTTCCAACCCCAGCCGGGGAAAATCTTTTTAAAAAGGGAAAATTTAAGTGTCTGAAGCTCCTGGGCTTTGCAGGGAGCTGTCCTTGGGGATATTCTTGAAAAACCCAGCTTGGGAAAAGCGCTTTGCAGTCGGGGTTTTGCCTGGAATTCTCTCCCCTCTGCATTCCCCCCGGAGGTTTTCCTGGCAGGGGTTTTCCCAGCTGACAGGGAGCGCCCCAGGTGGAGCATTCTCCAGCCTGGAAAATGCGATTTTCCCTCGTTTTTGGAGGGAAAACCCAGCGTGGAGCTTTCTCCAGAGTGGTGAGAGTCACCTGCTCATGTTTCTTTGGAATTTGGTGGGAATTGTGTCCTGGGGGAATGAGGGAAAAGGAGGAGCAGGGGTGAAATCCTGCTTTAATTCACCTGCAGGTGCCAAAAATCCACCCCACATTCCCGCTGTCCTTTCCTGTTCATGCTTTTCCCATCAAATCCCGCGTTCAGCTCTTTTCTGGGAGTTTTCTCTCCCATTTCCACGAATCCCACATTCCCACGGAGCCTCTCCAGGTAAATCCAGGCCGCGCAGCCCCTTCGGAAAATCCCCCTCGCTGTGCTAATTGCCCTTTCCCAATTAGCCCAATTTCCCTCCTCCCACCAGCTGCGTTTTGGAGCCGCCACTTCCAATCCAGAGCTCGGGGAAAAGCCGCAGCTCCGGCGAGGATCTTCCCTCTCCTTGTGCCTTTCCAGGATAACCGGGATAACCTTCGGGAAGGGAAGATATTCCCAGCTTTACTGCTCCCTGGAAAGGCTCCTGTGGCTGCTCCCAGAGCGTTTCCAAAGTCCTCCAAGCCCAAATTCCCTTGGGATTATTGGCATCCTCCAAAACCCAATCCCGGGAATGTTGTAGGGTTTGGCTTAGGAACGTCGGTGCCCTTTGGCCTGGGATGAGGGATTCTGATCCAGGTGCTGGGACCCTGGAGCTGAGCAGCCCCTGCCCTGTGGGGGCTGTCAGGTATTCCCAGCTCCATCCATGGGCTCAGCCTTGGAATCTTGGGATGCTTTGGGTGGGAATTCCATGGCCAGGGACAGACCCCACTGTCCCAGGTGGCTCCAAGTCCTGTCCAGCCTGGCCTTGAACATTCCCAGGAATCCAGGGACAGCCACAGCTCCTCCGGGAAAGCTGTGCCAGGGCCTCGCCTTCCTCACAGCCTGGAATTCCTTATCCAGAGCTCGGGGAAAAGCCGCGGCTCCAGCGAGGATCTTCCCTCTCCTTGTGCCTTTCCAGGATAACCGGGATAACCTTCGGGAAGGGAAGATATTCCCAGCTTTACTGCTCCCTGGAAAGGCTCCTGTGGCTGCTCCCAGAGCGTTTCCAAAGTCCTCCAAGCCCAAATTCCCTTGGGATTATTGGCATCCTCCAAAACCCAATCCCGGGAATGTTGTAGGGTTTGGCTTAGGAACGTCGGTGCCCTTTGGCCTGGGATGAGGGATTCTGATCCAGGTGCTGGGACCCTGGAGCTGAGCAGCCCCTGCCCTGTGGGGGCTGTCAGGTATTCCCAGCTCCATCCATGGGCTCAGCCTTGGAATCTTGGGATGCTTTGGGTGGGAATTCCATGGCCAGGGACAGATCCCACTGTCCCAGGTGGCTCCAGGTCCTCTCCAGCCTGGCCTCGGACATTCCCAGGAATCCAGGGACAGCCACAGCTCCTCCGGGAAAGCTGTGCCAGGGCCTCGCCTTCCTCACAGCCTGGAATTCCTTCCCAGTAACTCATTTC